ATTAGTTCATATTATTTTTATTATAATTGGTGGCTGAAAGAAAAGTGAATAGTTCTTGTTATTATAATTTGGAGTTCAAAATGAAAATGTACATGAAAATTAGAGAAGAAGAATGATATATTAATTTAGAAAGCAAATAGAGGGAAGCAGGAAGTCAGATTGTAATTTTGGTGTATTAGTTGTTTTGCTTGGTTGTTTTGTTTTGTGGGTTTGATTTGTCTATTCATGTTCATTTGTCTTGGTTAATAAATAATTATTATATTTTAAAAAAGAAAGCACACAGCAATTTTTCTGTTCCTTAAAAAATGTCAACATAAATAGTCGCCTTAGGGTTGCCGTAAATTGGAAATTTTTGTTTTCTTTATGTTCAGCAGTAGAGCCTGCCTTTAAACTTTCTTCTTTAACTTTCCTTAGTAATTATCCCAAGTCTATGATGTTTTCCGCTAGTGGTATGATATCGTCTGTATATTTTAGGTCCAAAACATACTGCAGAAATAATTCAGTTTGAGACTGCTTTAACTGCCCTGGCTCAGTGCTAGGGAATCCTGGGAGTTGTAGTTTATTGTGGCCCCAGAGCTCTCTGACAGAGAAGGCTAAATGTCTCACAATGCCAGTTCCCAGAATTCCCTAGCATTGAGCCAGGGCAGTTAAAGCAGTCTCAATCTGGATTATTTCTGCAGTGTGTTTTGGACCTCCAGTTGTTAATGTTCCTTTCTCCAGTCCTCACTCCTCCTGTCTCTTAAGTCTAAGCTTAAACTATAGAGGGCATTTATCCTGTAGTTATTTTTCACAAAAATACCTTTTTCCCTTTACTAAAACTCTGTTTAATGCTACACTGTTAGTTGGATTAATTTCTTTTTTGTTTAGTGGTTAAAGACAGTGGGGAAATGTTTCTAATGTATGTGTGTGGTGTGCCTTCAAATCGTTTCTGACTTATGGCGACCCTATCATGGGGTTTTCTTGTCAAGATTTGTTCATAGGAGGAAAATCAGATTTTAAAGATTTGCTGTGTAGGAGACTATGGCGCTGAGCTTGGAGAAGACTGAGATAATATGATAGCTATCTTTAAATATCTGAAGGAATATCATAAAGAAGATGAGATGAGAGGAATCATAGAACCATAGAGTTGCAAGAGACCACAAGGGCCATCCAAGTCCAACCCCCTGCCATGCAGGAACTCACAGTCAAAGCAACCCTGACAGGTGGCCATCCAGCCTCTGCTTAAAAACCTGTAAAGAAGGAGACGCCACCAGTCTCCGAAGGAATGTGTTCCACTGTCGAACAACTCTCACTGTCAGGAAGTTCTTCCTAATTTTTAGGTGGAATCATTAGGCCAAGGTAGTTAAATTGGGATCAGCCTGGATTATTTCTGCAGTGTGGAGGCAGAAATAAGTAGGAGAGGTACTAAGGAACCTGGTTATGGAATTGTGAAGAAGCATAACAACTGTGTATCAGAGGTGCCCGCTGTGCACCTGAATCCCCTCATCAGTGTCCCATTGTGCATCAGTCCTTTTGGTGGTTCTGATATGTAGTTACAAAGCAGCAGCCCTCTATTGTATATGGACATTGTGCATCTTCGCAATTCTGTTTCCTGCACACATATGTCCAGTGACAAGAATGCAACATCTAGCAGGATTCTCCCCTTGGTCTTATTTGTTCTTACTTGTCAGAACCAATTTTTAATACTGTATGTAAAAAAGAAAAGTCTGTCCTCTCAAAAGGCTTCCCCCCGCCCCGCATCAACTGAAGAGACTCCACTAGTGGAATAAATTCCAACTGCCATGCTCTGCTGTTGAAGTTGGGGTTTGGAGGCGATTGGGGATGCACAGAGAGAGGTGCAGAAGAAAAGAAAGGAAGTGGAAGACCATTTATAAGTACTGTTCATTTGGTTGTACAAATTCCTCCATCTGAATGGACTGAATGTAGAAATTCTTAAAACAGGCACAGATGGCAAGTAAGCCTGGGTCATACTGCACCAGAAGTAGAAATTGTAATCTTACAACATTCTTCTGTAACTGAAAGTTTGCAATATATAAGACTAATATTTTTTTCAGTAAGCTTGTGCAGTTTCAAAATACCTCTGAAAACACTTGAAATATGTGGTGTAATGCTCATCTCTTTTATTTTAGCTATGAGTGTTGACCAGGTTTCATCCTTGTTTAGTCAAGGAACAACAAAAACATACCACATTCCTATTGAGCATCTGGACTACAAATTCATAGAACAATGTACTGATGTTAAGTATTTGGAAAAGATTCTCAGGATATTAAGGTAAAACTTTTAACACCTTATTTTCTTAATAGACTTTAAATAATTTGATATGAATTATGGTAATTCTTGAAATAAATATGTTTATCTAAAAGCAAAAACAAGATCATCACTTGCTTTGAACATGATGTAAACTAATAGAAAGTGATAACAGTTTCAGTTTATAAAACTGAAATGGCATGGTCTTGCTATTTCTGTGTAACTAATATAAATTGGAGATAATATATGTTGGCAGATTAGATTATAAACTGAGAAGTCAGGATGATACTTTTATAGGTAAATTCTCAAAGACATAGCCACGTTAGTCTAGAAAATCACATCTTGCAGCACCTTTGAGAATAACTGAAAGAAATTGGTAGCATGTGCTTTTGTCTACTTCAGATGCATGGGGAAGTTCTATCACCCAGTTTTGGATTTTTTGTTCCTATGAAGGCATTAGAAGGGAAGTGATATTATTATTGTCTTGCTTTTACCTCGGAGCATGTTGTTTTAAATTATAACTAGTTTAATACTGTTTTAAGGGGTGGGAGGGTTGGATATGGAATAGAATGTTTTAACTTGTGTATTTTAAATGTTGTAACCCGCCTCTTTTGCTCTGCAGAGGGGCGGGCTATAAATAAAAATTTATTATTATTATTATTATAAAAACAACTAACATAAAGATAATTAAAACAATAATTAGCAAGAGAGCACAAGTATGAGGAGACAGCAATATGTTGTCCCAGTGTTAATGTGCACATTTCAATAAATTAAAAGAATGAGAGACAGAAGACCAACACATGAAAACATTTCAGAAAATGCATTGGTATTACTAAATAGCCTTTAAAAATCGAAACACTGTAATCAGTACTATAAACGGTGATACATTTTATCTGTTTATTTTAAGATCTGGTGAAGAAGGCTTTTATCCTGATCTTACATTATTTTGTGAAAAACGCATTGAGTCTTTGGCTCCAAATAGCAGAGCTTTACGAAGAGAAAAACCTCCAGCGACTGCTTCTGACTTTACCACTGAGGAATGGGAAAAAATAAACAGTGAAATGAAGGTATTGCATAATTTTGTTTTTAAAATAATTGCTCAAGGCTTTATCCAGTATTCTGTGTGTTCACTTTCCTATTCTGCCCAATTTCTTCTCCTGCTCCATATATAAAATTTTCTCCTTCACTAGAGGGCTCAGACTGGGTCATCTCCTTAGTAAGTCGGAGAACATCTTAGCATCCCCCATGTTGATAATATTTGTCATAGTACATTTCATTAGTATTTCATCTTGCTTCTTATGGTTTTGTTAGTCAGGTGATCATGGCAAACAATCTAGTGTGTTTTCTGAGAGTACCGTATATTGTTTTAATCTTAATTCACTTGTAAAGTTACCTATGATATATTGTTATACATTATCTTGCCTGGAATACTCTTGCAGTTGACATGTATTATGGAGGTTGTACTAAACACAGTGGGCCCTTGGTATTTGCTGGGGTTTGGTTCCAGGCCCCCCCACAGATAACAAAAATCTGCAGATGTTCAAGTCCCATTAAATACAATGGCATTGCACAATGATATCCCTTATATAAAATGGCAAAATCAAGGCTTGCGTTTTGGAATTTAAAACAAAATATTTCAAGCCATGGGGTTGAATCTATGGATGCGGAAGGCTAACTGTATCACTCTTAGTCCAATAAATGAAAAAAGTAACACTTGCATGTTGTTCAAACAGAAGGGAGGGCTCTGAATATAATTACATGTTTGTAGTAATAATAATAATAATAATAATAATAATAATAATAATAATAATGAATTTTAAAGGCTTGAGATGAAGTTTTTGTTTGTTTGTTGTGTGCTTTCAAGTCGCTTCCGATTTATGGTGACCCTAAGGCATGAGAGACAGAAGACCAACATGAGGTTTTCCTGGCAAGATTTGTTCAGAGGTTTGCCATTGCCTTCCCCTGAGGCTGAGAGAGTGTGACTTGCTTAAGGTCACCCAGTGGTTCACATGACTGAGCAGGGAGTTGAACCACCCAGGTTTACATGACTGAGCCCGGGGCCGATCCAAAGGCCTTGGTGGGCCGCATCCGGGCCTTGGGTTGCCTACCCCTGGTATAAGGTATATATGAAACATAAACGAATTTCATGTTTCGATTTGGTCCCCTCTCCAAGATATCTTCTTATGTACATATAAACAAATACAGGTATCACAAAATTTGAAACACTTCTGGTCCCGAGCATTTCGGATAAGGGAGACTCAGCCTGTACTTTGTCCTTCAATCCAGTTATCAAGGTGGCTCTGAAAAATTTAAAAGATGGATTAAGAAGTCCCTGTGGATTTGAAATGTCTAAAGAACATCTGTTAAGTGCATT